CCCTAAATCGGGACCCACCCCGATGGAACTGTATTTTACACCAAGGCCCATCCTTAAGATCACATATTTCATTCCTCAGAGTTTTTTGGCATGAATTTTGAATTTATAAATATTTTTTTGAATCTTAATGACTATGTTTTTTGACCCCTTCCTTAAATTCTGCGCCCCAGGGCAAGTGCATCCCTTACCTCATCCTAGTCTAGGCTCTGGATAGAAACCATGAACTAGCCAACTGTTGAAGGGGTCAGGCAGAGTTACACAAAGTTGGGAGGATTTGCCCTGCTTGCTGATAAAAACCAAAGGCTAATCTTGTGCCTCAGAATCTGTGTTCCAAATACACAGGGAGCTTTCTCTCTCTTCACTGAAGCTTGTGAAGGGCAGGCCTCACTAAGGGACATGAAGTTGGGGACCACTCCACTCTTGATGACAGTGACTCCCTTTGCATTACAAGGTAATTAACACCTGGTAGAGCTTAGCTGTAATAGCTGTAACTGCAAGTACTACAGCGAGTCTTTTCCCATCCTGAGACTTAAACTCAGGAAAAAAAAAAAAATCTCAAAGTGAGAAATGGTAGACAGAAAACACACATGGTTATAAAGCAGGAAGAAAGGTAACACTTGCAGACAAATAGCAAGAGTCACATCTAAGGGATTAACCTGCAGGTGAACTCCTAACAGTTTCACCTAAGCACTTTTAAAACACTAGCAGAGGACAATTTATTTTTTAAGAGAAACTTTAAAGCACACATCAAAAGCGTGAAAGTGGTTTCACTCCGAAATTTACGTGGTCTGAGACACGGCGCTGGCAGAAACATCACATGGTGCTTGGTTATGTTAAGCTCTCATCTGTTTCTCTTTCTCCTCTCCTTCCCCGCCCCACAACCACACTGCAGAATCCCTCTTTCCTTCCAGAGCCAGTCCTTTCATTTATTTTTAAATTCTTGGCCGCCCTGGAGAGCCCCGAGTGCTCACTCTGCCCGCTCTTCAGCTCTTCAGAAGAATAGAGGCACAGAGAGACAAAGTGATCACGCTCACTGTGCACTGGGCCTCAACCAGGAGTCCTGACAACAGTTTCGAATTTTCTTTTGTTCTTAGACATATTTTAACCTGCAGACAGTAGTGCTCGGTTGGCTACAACTTTCTACCTTACCCATGGCTGTGACCTCTGCAGACCAGTCACTACTGCTGATTTTCAGGAACTCTTAGAATGCACCAGGTCCTGATGTGACTGACTGTGTATCATGACATGAAGTTTTCAGCACAAAGAGCAAGAACAGGAGAGACATGCAGCCAGGGGCACTGGGTCACCACACGCAGGCCACAGGTGTGGCCTCATCCTCCAATGCAGGGGGGGCGGGGGAGGGGTCGATCAAGGAAAGCAGGACTGAATTCTAGGGAACCAGGTGACCAGCTTCAACAGAAACTTGGCCCTGACAAATCCCAGACTCCGAACACATGCCCACAGCTGCAGGCAGGGCAAAACACCTACCCAATCAACCACACAGGATGAGGCAAATCACTTCTGAAAACTGTTAAGTGCTGTACAAATTCACGCCACTAAGACAACTTATGGCATGGCCTCATCAGCATCCTGTAAAAAGATCCACAAGTGGAATAAATAAGGCTTATGTATTTACAGTGCATCTTGTTCCAAAAACACCAAATGAGGACATACCACACCACAGGACAGAAAACAAAACCTGAAAGATCACACTGCCAAACACACCAGGCGCAGCCCTCAAAACAACTAGACTCACGTTCACCCGCTGTTTTGTAATGTACCCTAACGCTTTGGGGGCATAGAACTGCCTTGACGTTTCATGAGATGTCTCCACCTCTTCTGGATAAACACACCAAGAGTTTACAATCTACCTGGAGAGAGATGGGTAGGCAGAGATCTATAAAAGACTCAAAAAACAAAACCTGTATTTTTTTTTTCTTTTTAAGATGTTATTTATTTTGAGAGAGAGAGAGAGACAGAGTGTATGTACACCTGCGCGAGGGAGGGGCAGACAGAGAGGGAGAGAGGATCTCAAGTCGACTCCCCGCTGAGCAAGGAGCCAGACAGGAGCTAAGATCCCAGGATCCTGAGATCACCGCACGAGCCAAAATCAAAGACAAAATCAAAGAGTCGGACTCCTAACAGACTGAGCCACCCAGGCACTCCTCAAAATAACGACAACAAAAAACAACTGTCTAAATGCCACAGCAAAAAAATTAAGTACCCATTACCATCCCTGGTGCACTGACTTTTCAGTAACCAGCCACATACGGGAGCAGAGAAAGTGAGGGAAAGGCTTATCAGGAAGTGTTGACACAACATAAACATGGACTGTGGGCACCAACCCAAGTAAGGAAACCACAATTATACCATTCTCCATTTGGACACGCTTCCACTTTAAAACTTCCAGACGGGAAAGTTGGTGGTGAGATTTGACACTGAAATCTCTAAAACTCACTTCTTAGACAAACCCGCTGAAAGGTGGAGAGAGCGGTCGTCACACTGCAGACAAATCTTAACAACATTAAAGCCCTCTCCGTGGAAAGTTTCCCCATCGCTGCATTTTTTTCAGTAACAAAGATGTTGTCAGAAATGACAATTTTTTGTGTCCCCTGATGATGCCTTGCTAGCATTTGGTTATAAGCCATAAAGCAGGACTAATTTCAGCCTGTCAGGAGTCTCACTAATGCCCAGTTTCCCCCCAGAGAGAATTCCTGTCAAATCTAATGAGAGCTCCAAAGGCCCTCTCTACAATATAATGAGCACTTAGGCCATGCTGGTGATCAGGCGGCAAAAAGCATCAATTTGAGCCTGGCTACACCCTGGGGGCCAGACGTCACCAGTTTTAATAAGAATTATGATTACTAGCTGCACCAAATGCCTCCTCAGAACTTATTATTAATGTGTGACATTCAGAAGGATGTTTTTCAAATGTAAGGCCACTTTAAACTGAATTACAGCACTGCTTTGCACACCACTCTAGTTACGGGTCTGTCAGCATTTACAATATAAACTAAATTTCAAGAGGCTTAATACCCTACTACGAAGAACATGGCATCTCTCAGCTTTTCACATTTTTCAAATTACTGAGCCAATTATACGCAGCATATTATTAATGCATAGTGGCTCACGGATGGACAGTATTACCCACAAATGCCCGATAGTGTATAGAAACTCATTAGAAACCTATTTTCACACCATGGGGCTCCTGACCCTCTTCGCCCCTTCTTCCTTTTTCCTACTCGATAAAAAAGAGGTCATGTAACCATGTAACCTTCAGGAACCCAGCAGAATTACACACTTCCTCTACCTCCCCAATAAATCCTGCATCAGCATACAGCATCATCCAGAGGTAGTGTTTCCTTGTAAAAGAGTTGGTGAAGTTATTGAATCCTTTGAGTTTATGAGTTTAAGAAAAAGCTCGGTCTCCTGTTTACCCTTTCTAGAATTGTGATTAGAAAAAGTATGCCTTTGGGGTAACTTAAAAAAAAAAAAAAGTGGCAGGTTACAACTCCTTCACCCAGTTTATTTGCATAATTCATTTAAATGACCATAGATCTTCTTGCCCAATTACTATCAACAAGTTACAACCGCCTCAATCAGGCACTTGCCATTCAAACACACAAAAAACAAAGGCACAAGCCCAACATAATCTAGGCTACCAATTTTGCAAATCAGAATAAAATCAGCATTTTTAAAGGCGCAATTATATTATTAAAGAAAGGCCCTGAACCTAACTATCCCTTTCCAAACACATATCTGAGAATAGATCTAATGTACACGACTTAACATTATGAAATCTATGATGAATTAAAAATCAAAGAGTGTGGAGTTACAAAAGCAGAATTCAACTCTGAAACACACTTGCTTAATGAAAGTCTTTGAATATAAGGAAGATCTGAAGGCTGAACTAATCAATTTCTCCACTGTGCCCCAGCCGGTCAGCCATGCTCTTTAATTTAATGAAACAAGGGTTTGAGATGAAATAGCACATATACATCAAGTAAGAATTGTATTGTTGCACTTTGAAATGTGTCCAACTGTGCAACTTCATCTGATGATAATTTTTTAAGAGGCAATCGATTTCTAAAAGACTTATTGTACCAGCGTCTTGATGAAAAAGTGAATGTCAGCATATCTCCAGAATACTTACACCCTGCCATTAATGCTTTCTTTGGCAGACAATGACTACTCAATCGAGGGTCCTTTGGGCTGAGCAATCATTTAGCTTTTCTTCTCTTATGAGGTCCTTAGTGCCTTGTTCCAGCTCAATACTCTTTTTATACACCATTATAGTAGCCATAAGTGTGAATTTTATGGGAACTTGCAAACTCATAGTCATAGCTAGAGCTTTCCAGTCACTAATCTTTTCATGCTTTTAAAACCACTAGGACTGAAGCGACTCCCAACATATGCTGTGGCCATAAAAGAATGCTTTTTCACCTCCAAATCTGCATCAATTGAGAAAGTTTTCAAAAAGATGTTTGCTAATAAGCCACTAATCTTGAATGTCACTTTATGCAACCCCGAAGCAAGACGAGAACCCCACAGTTAGTCATATACAATGTTTAACCTGCTTAAGAAACTCCTGAATATCCTTCTTTCCCCTCCACCCGCAGGACCACACTGCTGTTCCAACCAGCAAAAAAAAAAAACAAAACGTTAAGTTACTCTGAATTTCAGAACTCTATGGGATACCCAGATCTTTCAAGCAGAGAATAAATCTATCCAGGTGGAAAAGCCAACTCAGAGACTCAATTTCTATCAGCCTATAGACAGGTTGGGTCACATTTCCAAGGCACCTCTCACCTAGTCACTTACAGATTCTATAATTGTCAAGAAGCAACTCTTGCTGCAAAATACTACCACCAATTCACAGGAAGGGAAAGAAACTAAGGGCATACAAATCCCCCCCCCCCCAACCACTGAGGACACAGCCAGTTTTATAGTTTTATAATGACTGATTTCTCATTTCAACTTGAGATTTCAATAGAGCTTACCTGTTTATGCATTTCTATGTTTAATCCATAGGACATTTCATAATACTGCAAAAAGAAAAAAAATCAAGCATTTCATTAATTCATGTTTTGCAATGCTAGGAACACGTATTTGCTAATCTTACATGCAAAAGAGAGAAGTCTAGTCTCTGATACCTACCATCACATAGTGCCTCTGCATTTCTGTCTTTTCACTTGCCAGTTTCTCACATTCCAATTTAAGGCTACAAAAACAAAACAGGCAACTTAATGTAAACATTATGTCACTTGTTTTAACATCTGCCTCACATATTTGCACTTCAAGTAAAAACACAGACCAATTTGGAAAAGCCATAAACTATCTAGGTAAACGTGCAAAAGCTTTGTCCTTGCACTTAATAGGGAAAAGGAATAAGGTGAACAGTACAGCGTCTCCATTCAGCTACTATTATTTTTCTTCTTGATGCATACCTGGTCAGATGCCAAGAATGAACAATCTGTCAAAACCTCTGATCTACTCAGAAGACCAAATCCTCCTCCTGTTCATCTGTTCACTCCTACTTCCCTGGACCAGTTTGCTCCTCTGGATTCCACCAAAATCTGGCCTTTGCACAATTTTCAGCATCAGACACAGGCTGTCCCATCTATGCCAACTCAAACAGTCTCCAAATTTAAAAACTATACTTGTAGAGATACTTCTACAATTGTTGGTCCCTTTTGAAATCTTGTTTTTAAATCCCTGCCAAAATATGTTAAGTAGCTACTCCTGGCTTGGTAAACACAGTGTGAACAGGTATGCCTCAAGTTCCAGAGATTATTATCTTCAAGCAGACAAAAGGTCAACAATCAGAAAAGCCTCTGACAAAATAAGAAAATTCACACCCAAGCATCTGTGCACTTTTTCTCAAGCATGACCAAAATAAGGGCTGTCATTACAGAGTTATTTCTTAGCTCTAATCAGCTAAGACTTCACTGGAACATGGGAAAGAAACTAACAGTTCTGGAAAATCCACTATGGACAGGGCGCTTTACAATCACTTTTCATTTATAAACCTTTTGAAGTAGGTCTCAGTTAGGTGAAGAGACTAAGCCAGGATTTATATAAATGAGACTGCAGTCCCCTGTCCTGCCCAAACCACTCCAAAATGACGACGGCCAAGGCAGGGGAGCTTTCCCCTGCACCTAACCACCACCCCCACCCCCCACCCCCACCCCACCCCCATCACCAGTGACGGGCACAGCTAACAGCACCTGGTCTCCCATGATGGACTTTGTCTCAGACAACACAATCCCCTGGTATGGCAAAGAGCGATTTCAACACTGGCTCTGCCTCCCTAAACCTGCACTCCAGGGTTGGAGCATCGATTGAACCAAGGTTTCAGCTCAGCCTGTTGCAAAATAAATAAACCAAGTGCAAATATTGACGGTTCTCATGCAACTCCTAAATACTCAAAAAAAAAAAAAAAAAAAAAGGCTCCCTGTAGCAGCAGCAAACCGGCAAAAGGGAAACAATGGTAGTAGGAGGAGATTAGAGGAGAGACGGCCCAGGAATAACCTGGAAACAGGGTAACGCGAATGACAGGTCTTCACTGCGACTCCACACGCCACCGCCTGGACGCGAGCACTAAGTACAGCCGCCGCCGCCCCCGGCTGGGCGAGGAGGTGCCGGGGCGGCCCCCGGGGCTCCCGCTCGCCCGCCCGCCCGGCGCGGCGCGGCGCGGCGCGGCCGGACACGCACCTGTGGTACTGCGCCTGCAGGAACTGGAATTCCTCTTTAATGCGGTCCAGGGACTCCGGGATAGTGAACTTGAAGGGCTGGCCTGCAGCCTGGTGCGGCGTCTGGGGGCGGCCGCCGAGGGGAACCGAGGCACGGGGATGCGGATGCGGGGAGACAGACAGACGGAACAATGAAGTCAGAGGAAGCACAAGTGGGCGGGACGTAAACAAAAAACAAAGTTAGAAGTGGCGGAAAACGGAGCCCTGAACTCGAGTTTGCTCCGCGCTTGACGGAAGGAGAAAGCGGACCCTCGCCGGGTCGGGAGCCTCCTCGGTGCTCGGTACGTGCGCCCGGGTCACAGGCTGTAGGGACGGGGGCTCCCGGCGGCCGGGGAGAACCAGGCCAAACCGTCGTCGTTGCCACCGCCCCCTCCCCACGGGGGCGATAAGGACCCCGGGGACCAGAGAAGAAAAACAACTCCCTAACGCTCGGCGTTCCCAGAGACGCCGGGGCCACCTCCGGGCGCGCCGGATCGGGGGCCGCATTGACATGTAAATAGGCGAGACGAGAAACAAAGGGGGGGGCGTCCTACCCGTCCCGGCAAGGGGGTGGGGTGGACGGAGAAATCGCTCCGGGAAACAAACCCCAGCGTCCCCGGGAGCCGCCGCCCGCCCCGTCTAGACATCAACTCGGAGGGGGCCGAGAGCAGAGGGGAAGAATTGAGTTTCAGCTCCCTCCCCACCGCAGGAGGGGGGCTCCGAGACCTCCCAGCCTCGCACCCCTAGAGGCCTGCGCGGGGCGGGGGCGGGGGCGGGGGGGTCCTCCCGAATTTAACAGAGACCCGTCCCCCGGCCGCGCAGGGCGAGCGTCTATCCCCACCCCGCCCCGCCCCCCCACCCCGCCACCCGCGACCCCCGCCCCCTCCACCCAGTCCCCCGCCGCGCCTCACCGGGTGCCGGCTCTGCGGGAACATCGCTCTGGCGGCGGCCGCGGCTCTGTTTCCGGGCAACTCAATTCTCCGCTCAATTTCCAACTTTGATCCCGCCGAGGAAAATTAAGCCGAGAAGCCAGGCAAAACCCGGGAGCGCGCTCGGCGGGGCGCCCCGGCCACTCCTGCTCCCGCCGGTGCGGGTTCCCTCCTCGCTCAGGGCCACATCGCGGGGCACCCGGGGCCGGGCTGCGCCAAGAACCTGCGCGGCGACGCCGGCGCCCGAGAAGAGGGCGCGGGGGCTGCGATCCACCCCGCGGGCCTCCGCTGCCTCGGCGGGGGCGCGGGGGCGCGGGGGCGCGGGGGCGCGGGGACTCCGGCCGCGCTCCCCTCGGCGATCCCGGCGCGCGGCACCCGTCCCGGGCAAACAAATCCAGGCGGGCCGCTTCCCTGCGCTCTTCTCCCGGTCCGCCTCCTCTCCGGGTTTTCCCCGCGGCCACGGCCGCGGGCGAGGCGCAGGTGGCCCGGCGCCCCCGGCTAACCCCACGCGGACAAACCCGGCGACGTTCGGGGCCGGCCGCGGCGGGTCAGGGCAGCGCCGTCACCGGGCGCTCGTGGGCCGCGGGAGGCGGGGAGGCGGCGAGGCGGCGAGGCGGCGAGGCGCACGGCCCGGGCCGCGGCGGAGGTTCCGCGCCTGGCGCCCCGCAGCCTCAGCCCCGGCGGAGGAGCGCGGGATGACGCCGAGGCGGGGAAGCGCGGAGGGCGCGCCGGGAGGCGGCTCGGCACGCCCCGTGCCTCCGCCACTCGGCGGTCTCGGCGGCCGCACGAACCCTCCCGGCCCGGCGGGGCTACTCCGCGGGGGGCAGTGCGGCAGCCGCCCGCTGCTCCTCGAGCCCGGGGCGCATCCGGGCGCCGCGCCCCGCGCGCGCTCGCCCCCACGGCCGGCCCGGGCGCTCCGGACTCTTGCTCCAAGCCCCGGCCTGGGCCCTCTTTCTTTCCTTCCCTTCTTCGTCTGCCGCTTCGCAAAGGGCGCTCCAGCCCGCCGCAAAGTTCTCTCACGACCCGGGGGGCGACATCCACGAGACGCCGGAGAAGAGAGCGGGAGTGCGTTCCGCGCCCGGCCTCCCTCCCCGGCGGGCAAACTCCGCGGGCGGGTCCCGAGGAGTCGCGGCGGGGGGTTTGGTCGCCGCGGGCCGGCGGCGCGGGTCCCGCCCGGCCGCGAGCGGGCGGGGGTGGCGCCGTCGGTCGCCTCGGGGACGCGGGGCACAGGGTACTCGCCGCTGCCGCCGCTCCTGCAGCCGCCGCTCCCGCCGCCGCCGCCGCCGCCGCCCGCGCCTCTCGCGCCGGTTACATTAACACGCGGTTTCACACTCCGGAGCTAACCAGCGCCGGCCCCGCCCAGCCCCGCGCGGGCGGGGGGCGGGAGCGCAGAGCCGGCGGGGGACGCGGGTCCGGAGGCCGCGGGGGGCGGGGCAGCGCGCGCCAGCCAATCGCGCGCGGGCGCCCAACGTGGGGCGCTGACGCGACGCCTCCCCGAAGCCTATGGTAGCGCCGCGCTGCGCGGGCCGTCCTCCCCCTCCCCCTCCCCCTCCCCCCCACCCGACTCGCTCGCGTCTCCGCCGGCCCCCCCCCCCGTCTCCCCTCCCACCCCGCCCCCCCCCCCCCCCAGCCAGCCGCGTCCTCCCGGGCTCGGTGAGGAACTGTTCCCGGAGGAGCCGCGGGACGCCGAAAGCAGCCAATGGGAAGAGGCGAGACGCCGAGATTGGCACCGTGGATGGGAAGGTCGGTGGGAAGGAGAGCGGTGGGGCCGCGCTGTCAATCAAAGTAACGTGGGGCCGGCGCGGGCGCGGGCGCGGGTGCGCGCGGGCGCGGGCGCGGGCACGCGCGAGCGGGAGGGCCCGGCGAGCGTGCCGCCGCCGCGGAAGCTGGGGGCTCGAGTTTGCAAAAATCCTGCCACTTGTTCACTTTTCCCTTTAATGGAAATCCTCAGATCTCAGTGACAGTAACTCGGAGTCTAACCGCGTAGTTTCTTATGGGGGGCGGGGGAGGGTTGGCGAGGTTGGTAGTTCGAGCCAAATGAGTCTTTCCGTGCTTGCCCCTCGTGTGATGCTCCTCTTTTGAAAGTGAGGTCACGTTCAAAAATTTCTCTGAGGATTGTTTCTCCGTGAGCTGCCTCTTCGTGAGAAGGAGCAGTGGACTGTGCGCTTGGTGGAAAACGCGGCAGCGCGTGGGCTGGCGCACGGTCACCGCCGCCTAACACTAGGGCTTTTAATACTCAGCCCCCCCCCACCCCCATCCTTTGCACCCAGCGTGGGAGCGGTTGGCTTTTATTGAAGCATTTCGGACGACTTGGCGGGAAGGTCGGCCTGCCTTCGTTTGGCGGGAAGGATGCCCTGAGGTGCTGCCAGGGTAAGGCACGCGCGTCCCAGCCGCGGAAGCGCGAAATCTCTGCTCCTTGTCTTGGACCGAATTCGCCGCCTTGGGAGTTGGGGGCCGCCGAGAGTTTCAGGGGCCTCTCAGCAACATGCCCACGAGTCTGTTCCCAATTCCTAGAAACAAAGGGAGACAATGGGATAAACCCGCATTGCGACCCGGGAACCTGTCCTGCCCGCCCCTTACCCCCACCCCTTGGGTGGTACCCAGGGCAGGGCGGAGCTGCGTGAGGACCTAAATGGGAAGCGTTGGGTCCATTAGCCGCTCGCGGCTAAGATTCTTAGGAGTGGGACTTGACCCAAAAGGTATTTTGAGGTCTTAAGTAAATGTGGCATACTGTGTCAATCTCCGGTTTCTGCCCATTTCTCCAAATACACGACACAGCAGAAAGCCTTCAGTATTGCCGCATTTGTACTTTTATTTAAAGAACAGTTAGGTTGAGCTATTTTCGCACGATTGGCGAGTGAATAATACTGTGGTAGCCAAATGGTGGTGGATACTTCGGTAAGAAAGACACGTCTTTGACAAGCATTCGTCCTACCTTGGAATATACTTCAGTTTTTGGTACTAATAACTCCCACGTTCCCGTTATTTTACTTTCCAGGGACTTGTGGAAAAGCATTTATTTAAACAGAAACACATTTGATTCGGAGATTTTCTTTCTCAGGGATCTTTTTCTTGAAATATTAAAAGAGTCATTTTAGATAATACATTTCACCGTTGGAGTCGTTCTTAAATATGTATGATATTGATTTGTCTATAATTGCATCAATCCCAAACATCAATTATAAATGAAAAATTAAAGGAGCGATTTTAGCCAGCCTGTACAAGGCCACAGTAAATTCTTAAACAAGTTGGGTATGCGGTTTTGCAGTGTTCTCATTAAGTGGGGTTGGGGAGAGGGTTATATTATTCATTTTGCTAACATGGAGAATGAAGAGGAAGGAAGCACTGTCCCTCTTTCCTGAGTTAAATGGAGTGATGACTGGAGCAGGCTTGCTCCACGTATAGGACTTTTTGAAATAATGTGATTCATGGGCAGCTAAGTTTTGTCCTTTGGCAACCTGCGTTCCTTGTAATCTTCACCTAGTGATTGGGCCCCATATGCCAGTCTATGGTCAGTTCATCCCATAATCAGCTTCAGGACTGTGTAGAAAGAACTTGGATGCCACAAATATGCCTGTGCATGCTGAGCCAACTGGGGCAACTGACACTTCTCCCTGGCTTACCCAAGCTTTATTTTGATTTACTAGCACACACTGGTAATTAGGTTTAAACAGAGAGATTAAAACGGTGTACTTCGAGGCAAGAACCTTCTGAATTCCGTATAATGTAGTATCTGGAGAAAAGAAAGAGTAATGATTTCGAAATTGGAAGGCCTTTAATTGTGTACATAAAGATGGTTGGTTTTCGACTGTATCCCATCCTCCTTGACAGAGGGAGAAGGCTGGGCTCCTTTTCAAGGTCATATTTTTCTTTGTGATTGTCATGCTGTAATAATTATACTACAAAACTCTCATCAAACTGCATTACAAATGATGGTGTTTAACAATCAAGTAGCTTTAATCTTATGTTTTAAAAAAATAATATATGTGCAGATTGGCTACAGCCTGTTTAAAAGAAAATAATCCTACCCATGAAATCTATCATTTTAGTCTTCTATTTAAAGTCTGTTAACCATAATCTTTTTTTACCTTTAACATATTCATATGTTGATGATGTTTCTACATGAAATGGTACTAAGTACGCCGCTTCCATAGAAAATTATCTCTGAAAAAAACAATCCCCTTTTTATCCCCTGCAAAGCAACAAGAAGATTACCAGATTGTTTATTTTATCCTTGATGCATATAGGGGTATATTTCCATTTGTTTGCTGCTGACTATCAAATTTTCAAAAGTCAACCAATGGCGTAAGTCATTACAAAAAGTAGATGGTATATCGTACAGGTTCTAAACACGTCATAGAAAAAGCTATGGCTGCTGATCAATGGTATTATGCATCTTTTAAATCTATTACTTTTTTATTTGAAATGAGTATGTCAATTTCTGAAGATCACATTATTTTCTCTTTTAGCTGTGAGTTATTGCTCATGCATTTTCTCATTTGACTTTTTTTTTTAACTGAGTTTTCTTAAACCCTGAGAATGTAGGGTCCAGAAGAATTTTCCCAGCATTGCTTTATAGCCTTTTCCCCCACCCCTTTACCAAAGAAAAGGGCAGGATGGGTGTGGGGCATGGAGAGAGAGAAAGCAAAGAAAGGAAAAAAAAAAAAAATCAGTAGCCGATCCATGCAGCAGTAAAACCTCAAATAAAATCACATCCAAAGAATCTCTTGCGGTTTCACACAATATGGTAAAATTAGAGATTGCAGGAAACCAACTAAATTAAACTGGGAGCATTTGAAGAGAAACGAGTAGTTTATGAAAATGACACATTGACTGACCAGTGTGCTTTTTTATCAACAATTTCTTTGTTAAGATGCAGATCAAAGGAACCTGCATATGTTTTCATTTTGTTCTAACTAGAAAATTACATCCAGATGTTTAATAGGCATTTGGTTGGTTTTTCAGCATTGATTAGATATGTTGGTTCTGTTTGCTTACAAGTGTAGCCGGATCATTAGCTAATGCAAAGAAATGTTTGCTGTGAGTTGCTAATTAGGGCTTTTGGAAACCCTCCATGCTCAAGAACAATTTGTACAGTGGCCAGATGAACTTGAGGGACTTGAGGAAGTTGTTTTCCTTTCTCTGTCAGAATGGGGAGAAGCAGACATCCCCATTCCCTAATCTCCCTTTGCCTATGGGGGATTGGGATGCTATCCCTGAGGATTAGAGTGCAAATAAATTAGGAAGAGACCACACAGGCACTCCCAAACACAGAGATAAATGTGCCTTTTCTCAAACTACCACTGTGTTGTCTTCAGGGGTTGGGGGAAGCGAAGAACATCTAAAATGCTGAACATTAATATGTGGAAGATGCTCAGTGCTAATGTTATCAAATACACAGCCTTTTTAAGTATACTTTAGAGACAGATGGGAAAGCCCTTTATGATAAACGAGTGTACTTGAATTCATTACTGTAGTACTTATAATTAAAAATGTCTCCTTTGCAATTTCAGTACTTCTGCAGGGTACAAGAGACCAAGCTTAGGAAGGGGAAGGCTGGGGCCAGTGAAAGGGATGGAGGGAGTAGAATTTTGGAGCCTGGGAGGAAATGCAGTGTTTACTTTCACAGCCACTCATCTGTTTACCTTGTTAAAGCCCCAAAACTTGTAGGAGATTAGACATTCACGTGGTATTCAAATAAACTGTTTGAGAATTTGAGGCACCAGGCGGATAAACTTCTTAGCTGGCCAATCACATTTTTAAAAACACTTGCAGAAGGACACCACCTCGGTGGAGGTTGAACTTTTGTTTATTTAAGTCTGTATTTCTAGAGAGGTACCAGGCCAAAATAGCCTCTGTCTATAAGCCACTGCAGAAGCACAGCCCCAAATACCACTGGAGCATTTTCTCTCACATATTAAATGCCCCTTCTCGGCCTGTTTACATCTTATGCACATGGATGGTACACTCCTCCGTGTTCCCGTAGATGCAGGATTAGTTTTCCTTGAAATAGTTCAAGCAGAGGGCCTTTCTATCAGAGCTCTCCAAGTCCTTGGGGAGCTGCCCTTGAAAAGCAAAGACAGTATTTTGGGGCAAGAGCAGATATTTCCTGGAGCTCAGAGCATAATGTACCAATACGTCTCAGTGTAAATTAGCAAGTTTTTTTTTTTTATTCCATTCTGAAGTCTGATAAAAGTTGAGGTAATACACTTTTTTTTTTTATTCTTTCAGTTTAGTATTTAGCTCAACAGGAGCCA